GGTTTGAGTCGTTTGGGGTTTCTTGTCCTGGTGTGAGTCGTTCGGGCCCTTCTTCCTGGTGTGAATCGTTCGGGCTCTTCGTGATGTGAGTCGTTCGGGCTCTTCGTCCTGGTGTGAGTCGTTCGGGCTTCTCGTGGTGTGAGTTGTTCGGGCCCCTCGTCGTCGTGTGAGTCGTTCGGGCCCCTCCTCCTGGTGTGACTCGTTCGGGCTCCTCGTGGTGTGAGTCGTTCGGGGCCCTCGTCGTGGTGTGAGTCGTTTTGGGAGCCTCTTGGAGGCCTTTTGGGGCGTCTTCGGGGCCTCTTGGCGGCCCCAGGGGTTTCTAGGAGCGTCTTGGGTGCCCTGGGGGAGCCTCTTCGGGCCTCCCAGGAGCCTCTTGGAGGCCGTTTGGGGCGTCTTGGGGGCCTCTTGGCGGCCTCTTGGGGACCTCTTGGAGGCATCTTGGGGGCCTCCCCTGTCAAGAAACAGGGTGCGAGCGTCGAGGGGCACACTTTGATTGAGAAAAAACAGTATGCACCGGTGGGGGGATCAACAATAATGATTCGTCAGAAATGAGAATTCCACCACAACAACAACAACAACGACGACGACGACGACGACGACGACGACGACGACCACGACGACGACGACGACCACGACGACGACGACGACGACGACGACGACGATGACGACGGCGGCGGCCAGCGGCAGCGGCGGCGACGACGACGACCACAACGACGACGACGACGACGACGACGACGACGACGACGACGACGACGCCCGCCCACGCCGCCGGTTCTGGGGCCCCTCCCGCATGGGGGCCCCCGTTGGGATGACCCAGCGACGTCCGACAACGACGACGACGACGACGACGACGACGTCGACCGACGACGACGTCCGACGTCCGACGACTACGCCGACGCCGACGCCGCCAGAGGCGGAGCCCCTTCCGCAGGGGGTCCGGCAAGGGCGACGGCCCAGCAAATCCAACGACGGCGGCGGCGGAGGCGGTGGGCCGCTGCTGTTCCGCCTCCAGACGTATCTCTCCGGCGTTTCCGAATGTTTACGAACGGGCCGCCAGAGGCCCGAGTTATGACCCGAGGGCCAGCGGGGGCAATGTCGCGTTAGGGGTTAGGGGGCAGATATCGATACCGCTGCTTGCCCTGGAGAGCCCTTGTCGCCACGGCTGGATTCTCTCGGCGGCGAAATCCGAACCCTACCCTCGCCGATGAACGATTCAGGCAACTCGATGGGCGGCGGGGGTAGGGTTCGGCATTCGTCGAACACGAGGCGAAAGCCGAACCCTACCCCCACCTCCCATCGATTCAGCAGAATCGTAGTTGGTGGCGGTAGGGTTGGGAGGTCGCCAACAACTGTTCTCGAGATTCGGGTCGGAATGCACCCTGGGAGTAGAGGGCGGCGGCGGCGGCGAGGATGACGGCGGCGACGATGACGACCACGACGACAACAACAACAATCAGGACGACGACGAGGGCGACGACGACGGCGACGACGACGACAACGACGACGGCGACGACGGCGAAGGAGGGAGGGAGAATGGCGGGAGGGAGGGATTCAGGGAGGACGAGGGATGGTGGATCAGGGATGGAGGGAGGATGAGGGAGGGATGGAGGAGGAGGGAGGGATGGAGGGGCGGAGGAGGAGGAGGGAGGGGGCGAGGGAAGGAGGGGAGGAGGGGTCGTCGTCGTCGCCGTCGTCGTCGTCGGTGCCGTCGCCGACGATTTTCGATCCGATCCATGGCCGAGCCCGAGGCCGCCCCGGCGCCCGCCCCCGCACCAGCGCCAGAGCCAGAGGCGCCCAGCACGCCTCGCCGTCGCGGCCGCCAGGGCTGCCGCGCCGACGATGCCGACGCCGACGCCGACGCCGACGCCGACGCCGACGCCGACGCCGACGCCGACGCCGCCGCCGCCGCCGCCGCCGACGACGACGACGACGACGACGACGACGACGACGACGACGACGACGACGACGACGGGTGCGGCAGCGGCGTCGGCGGCGGCCGCGGCGGCCGCGGCGGCACCGGCGGCGTCGGCGGCGGCTTGGGGCGGCGACGACGACGACGACGACGACGACGACGACGGCTGAGAAGACGACGACGCTGGTGACGCATTTCGTACCCCACGGACTGCCAGGGGCGGCCGGCTGGCCCTCGAGACGGCTGAAGGGAGCCTCAATTCGTCACAGCCCGCACGCATTTCGTGCTTCATGGACTCCCAGGTGCCCTCCGCTGATGCTTCGGACGGTGCAAGGGAGTCTCGACGATTCGGCACACCCCTCACGCACGTCGTGGCCCATGAGCACCTTGAAACCGCCTGCATACCCAAGGGACGCCAAGAACAAATGCAACGAGTGGTGTCGACCTTCGCCGGAGCCACACACCGACCACTCACGGATTGTATAATACCTATACGACCACCCTTCGGGTGATAAGGAGGTTCGGGGAGGGAGGAACCAACGTCTCACTCGATCGGTCTCACTATCGATCTCACTATCGATCTCAGTATCGGTCTCGCTCGATCGATCTCCCTCGATCGATCTCACAATCGATCTCACTCGATCTATCTCACAATTCATCTGACTATCGATCTCACAATCGATCTCACAATCGATCTCACAGTCGATATCACATTCGGTCTCACTATCGATATCACAACCGCTCTCACAATCAACGTCATCATCATCATCATCATCATCATCATCAACAACAACATTTACATCAACATCATCATCACCAACATCATCATAATCGGGACACCGTCCTCATCATCAACACCAACATCATCGTCATCACGGTAATCGACATCATCGGGACACCACCACCATCATCATCATCAGCAGCATCGGGACACACTCATCGTCATCATTATCATCAGCAGCAGCATCATCATCGAGACACCATCATGATCACCATCGTTATCATCATCATCATCATCATCATCATCATCATCATCATCATCGGGACACCATCATCATCTCATCCTCATCATCGACATCATCATCATCATCAGCATCATCAACATCATCATCATCAGCATCATCATCATCGCCATCATTGGGGCACCATCATCATCATTACCAACATCAGCATCAACAACATCATCATCATCATCACCATCGGGACGCCATCATCATCAACATCATCATCATCACCATCATAATAATCATCATCATCGGGACGCCATAATCATCATCAACCTCATCATCATCAACATCATCATCAACGGGGCACCATCATAATCAGCATCATCAACATCGCATCATCATACTCATCATCATCGGGACACCATCATCGTCATCATCATGATCATCAACATAATCATCATGATCATCATCCTCATCATCGGGACACCATCAGCATCATCATCATCATCGTCATCATCATCATCGGGACACCATCATCATCATACCATCATCATTATCATCGTCCTCATCATCATCATCATCAGCATCATCATCATCATCGTCATCATCATCAGCAGCATCATCATCAGCATCACCATCATCATCATCATCATCATCATCATCATCATCATCTCACCATCATCATCATCATCATCATCATCATCATCATCATCATCATCATCATCATCATCATCATCATCATCATCATCATCATCATCATCATCATCATCATCATCGCGGGACACCGCGGGACACCGGCGGGACACCGCGGGCCACCGGCCGCCCGGAAGGGAGTCATTTGGTCCGGCCGCGCCTCAGCCACACGGGACTTTCGCGGGACACCGGCGGGACACTGCGGGCCACCGGCCGCCCGGAAGGGAGTCATTTGGTCCGGCCGCGCCTCAGCCACAGGAGACTTTTTCTCGCCCGCCCACGCAGCTTCGCCTCGCCCGCACGCACGGCACGCACGAACACGAAACCGAAATCGATTTCCCGGTAGGGGGGCTCTCCGTTCCACTTCGATCTCACGCCCTCACCTCCGATAATTGTGATTCTGTATATGTGCACGCGCTGACATAAATACGTACACACATGCACAGATTCCTGCGCATACGTATTTACTTGATTTTTCCCGGAAAGGGCGTAGGCCCAGGGTTCTCTTTTAGTGGGTTTGCCCACGGATCTGACGGCTGTAGGGCCGGCGAATTTCTTTTGCGATAAATAACGAGGTCGCCTAGGGCCGGCGAATCAAAAAATTGAGGACGTCTCGAGCAAAACGCTTGTGTGTCAGAATTTGTTGAGAACGTCTCGAGCGAAACGCTTGTTTTGTGTTATAGATTGTCCTCTCCTGGGCACCTGAATTCAGAGGATCTCTAAAGTGACATGCTTGTTTTCACGTGCCCAGGTCTTGAGGACGTCTCGAGCGAGACGCTTGGTTTCGCGCCTCCAGGTCGCCCAGGCAGAGGTCTAGCGCCAGGATTTGTTGAGGATGTCTCGAGCGAGACGCTTGGTTTCACGCGTCCTCGTCGCCCAGGCGGATGTCTAGCATGAGGCTGTGTCGAGGAAGTCTCGATCGAGACGCTTGTTTGCACGTGTCCAGGTTGCCCAGGCGGATGTCTAGCATGAGGATGTGCTGGGAACGTCTTGAGCGGAACGCGTGTTTCCACGTGTCCAGGTCGCCCAGGCACAGCACAGCCCTCGGCACAGTACATCAATATCGATACCCTTAGCATTGCAGCCTGGCATGTTGCCTGGCACGTTCCGCGGAGCATCCCGTGGCGAGTCCCCCTGGCACGTCGCGCGGTGCACGTCCATTGGCACGTTCCGTAGCGCGTCCCCTTGGCACGTCCCGCGGTGCGTCCCCATGGCACGTCCCCTGGCACGTCGCCTGGCGCGTCCCTTGGGACGTTCCGCGGCGCGTCCTCCTGGCATGTCCCCTCTGTCGATTAGTTCTGGGGCAGCTACCATCTGCTCAGGCAGCTCGAGCTTAAGATCCAGATCAGTTCGGTCAGGACTCGGATGCCAGGGAGGACTCGATCCACAACGTTAAATCGAGCACAATCGTGGCATGGCACATCGCAGTTCAGCACGGCCCAGCACAGCACAGCCGTCGGCACGGTACATCAAGATCGATACACTCAACATTGCACTTTGGCACGTTCCTTGGCGCGTTCCGTGGCGAGTCCCCCCGGCACGTCGCGCGGCGCGTCCCCTGGCACGTCCCGCGGCACGTCCCGTGGCACGTTCCTTAGCGCGTCCCTTTGGCACGTCCCGCGGTGCGTGCCCATGGCACGTCCCCTGGCACGTCGCCTGGCGCGTCCCTTGGGACGTTCCGCGGCGCGTCCTCCTGGCATGTCCCCTCTGTCGATTAGTTCTGGGGCAGCTACCATTTGTTCAGGCAGCTCGAGCTTAAGATCCAGATCAGTTCGGTCAGGATTCGGATGCCAGGAAGGGTTCGATCCACAACGTTAAATCGAGCACAATCGTGGCATGGCACATCGCAATTCAGCACGGCCCAGCACAGCACAGCCCTTGGCACGGTACAGCAAGATCGATGCACTCAGCATTGCAATTTGGCACGTTCCGTGGCGCGTCCCGTGGCGAGTCCCCCTGGCACGTCGCGCGGCGCGCCCCTTGGCACGTCCCGTGGCACGTCCATTGGCACGTTCCGTAGCGCGTCTTTTTGGCACGTCCCGCGGTGCGTCCCCATGGCACGTCCCTTGGTACGTCGCTTGGCGCGTCCCTTGGGACATTCCGCGGTGCGTCCTCCTCGCAGATCCCCTCGTCAATTAGCTCTGGGGCAGCTACTATGTGCTGAGGCAGCTCGAGCTTAAGATCCAGATCAGTTCGATCAGGACTCGGATGCAAAGGATGACTCGATCCACAACGCTATAGAGCACAATCGCGGCATGGCACATCGCAAGTCAGCACGGCCCAGCACAGCACAGCCCTGGGCACTGTACATCAAGATCGATACATTCAGCATTGCAACTTGGCATGTTCCTTGGCACGTTCCGTGGCGCGTCCCATGGCGAGTCCCCCTGGCACGTCGCGCGGCGCGTCCCCTGGCACGTCCCGTGGCACGTCCATTGGCACGTTCCGTAGCGCGTCCCTTTGGCACGTCCCGCGGTGCGTGCCCATGGCACGTCCCCTGGCACGTCGCATGGCGCGGCCCTTGGGACGTTCCGCGGCGCGTCCTTCTAATTAGCATGTCCCCCTGTCAATTAGCTCTGGGGCAGCTACTATGTGCTGAGGCAGCTCGAGCTTAAGATCCAGATCAGTTCGATCAGGACTCGGATGCAAAGGAGGACTCGATCCACAACGCTATAGAGCACAATCGTGGCATGGCGCACAGCACAGCCCTCGGCACGGTACATCAAGATCGATACACTCAGCATTGCATTTGCCCGTCTCCCAATCAGGTGTCTTTGAAACGCCGCCATGCTTTACATTTCTATATTCCTTTCCGGGTTCGTGGGTCGATCATGTTCCCGGTTTATATTCCTTATCCTTATTACATGACACGGGACCCCCCCCCCCGGGATGGGTATCACCTAATTCAGTGGGTCTTCCCAGACTGCCGTACATACCCGAAAAGGCTTCCCAGATTGCCGTACATACCCGAAAATTGCCCAGGAACGTTCTACCCCCGGGGACCCGCGCGGCTTCCAGGGCCCCCGAGACACCCAGAACTCGGCCCAAGACGCCCAAGACGAACAGAGAACGGCCCAGCAGGCTTCCAAGATGCCCCACGAGCTTCCAAGAGGCTTCCCGAGAGTGCCCCCAGAGGCCGAAATCATCAGTTTTACGATGGTTTTGGATACATTTCAGCTTTCCCCCCTTCTCGGCTTTCGACGCTCCAAGACCGCCCAAGAGCCTCCAAGAGCGCCCCAATACAGTCCCAGAAGCTTCCAAGAGGACCCCAACACTGCCCAAGACGGTCGCAAAAGGCCTCCCAGACGACCGCACATACCCGAAAATTGCCCAGAAACGTTCGACCCCCAGGGACCCGCGCGGCTTCCATGGCCCCCGAGACATCCAAAAATCGCTCCAAGACGCCCAAGACCGGCCGAGAACGGCCCAACAGGCTTCCAAGATGCCCCAAGATCTTCCAGGAGCCTTCCCGAGAGCGCACCCAGAGGCCGAAATCAACAATTTTACAATGGTTTTGGACACATTTCAGCATTCCCGCCTTTTCAACTTTTCGACGCTACAAGACCGCCCAAGAGCCCCCAAGAGCGCCCCAATACGGCCCCAGAAGCTTCCAAGAGGACCCCAAGACGGCCCAAGACGGTCCCAAAAAGCGTCCCAGACGGCCGCACATACCCTTAAATTGCCCACGAACGTTCTACCCCCAGCACCCGCGCGGCTTCCATGGCCCCCGAGACACCCAAAACTCGGCCCAAGACGCCCAAGACGGGCAGAGAACGGCCCAGCAGGCTTCCAAGATGCCCCAAGAGCTTCTAAGAGGCTTCCCGAGAGCGCCCCCAGAGGCCGAAATCATCAATTTCCAGAGGTTTTTGGATGCATTTCAGGTTTCCCCCCTTTTCGGCTTTCGACGCTCCAAGACCGCCCAGGAGCCCCCAAGAGCGCCCCAATACAGTCCCAGAAGCTTCCAAGAGGACCCCAAGACGGCCCAATTCGTCGCAAAAGGCCTCCCAGACGGCCGCACATACCCGAAAATTGCCCAGGAGGCTCCACAACGGCCCAAGAGGCTCCGAAGACGGCCCCAACACGGCCCAAGAGGGCCCGCGTAGATCGCAAACACGTCGGCACGCGCGCGGCCCGTCCACGCAAGCTGTGGGAACCCATTGGGAACCCCCTCCGCTCGCCCCGGACATGTCTCAGTGGAAGTGACTAAGTGCCCGTGGACTTCCCGTGCGCTCTCACCCGACCGGGGCCCTCTTCGGGTCAAACCTTTGACAGGCCATGCCATCGACGTTGGACGCCCTTCAGTTCGCTGCACAACGGCCCAAGAGGCTCCCAAGACGGCCCCAAGACGGCCCAAGAGGGCCCGCGTAGATCACACGCACGTCGGCTGGCGCGTGGCCCGTCCACGCAAGCTGTGGCAACCCATTGGGAACCCCTTCCGCTCACCCCGAACATGTCCCAGTGGAAGTGCATAGGTGCCCATAGACTCCCCATCAGCTCTCACCACCCACGGGGCCCTCTTCGGGCCAACTCTTTGACAAGCCATGCCATCCACGCAAGCTGTGGGAACCCATCTGGCTCCGTCAGGCTTCGGGCTTACGCCCCTTTGGGCCTTGCATGCGCTTTTGGAAAAACGTTTGTCCAGCCCAAACGTTCCAAACGTTCCAACCGACACGCGGGAAGCCCGGCGCCAAACTGATCCATTGCCATACGTCGGTCATGCGAACTCCCCTTCTCCGTAGCCGTCTGGGCTCAAACGATCCCATGTTCTCTGGCTTTCGAAAGATTGCTTCGAAAGCATGGCTCCAGAGTGGCGCTGCAGCTGCAATCCTCACAGCTCTGCACTTCCGACGTAGACGTGACGCATGTTGTGATGGGGACGACGGCCAACCCTTGCCCGTGCGCAAACGGCCCGCTGCTCGTGGCCGACCCAGCGCCCCTGAGCTCCATTGTTCCCGCTGCGACCTCGACCTCCCTCGGGAACGGTTTGGTAAGTACCAAATCGAACGAGCGGCTCGGATATGCACCAACTGTGCAAGAACCGCTCCCCATTCATCTGGTCACCCCCGCTCCCGACTTGAAGACACCTGCGCCCGATGCGGCATCGCATTACCCAGAGACGCATTCGGCGAAGATCAACAAGGATCTGCAGGGGTTTGCCGGGAGCGCGCCACGAACGGGCGCCCGCGTTTTCACGACGAACCCTTCGTGGTCGGCGACATGACTCGGATTTGCCCCCATTGTTCGGCGCATTTGTTTCCTTGCGAGCCGTATACGTTCTGCTGCAACAGTGGCAAATGGGCAGTTTCCTTCAGCGACTTTTTCCCTTTGCCTCCCCCTGCTCTTCTCAAAGTGTACCATTCCACCTGGCCTGCCACCGATGCGAAAGGGCACCCCCTCCACGACCCTGCCACGAACGCCCCACGCCTCACGGGCTTCACTAGCATGAGCCGCCGCTACAACAACATTTTTGCTTTGGCAGTGGACGAGATCCAGAGCGCCGGTCCGACTAAAGAGCTACGATTCGGTAACTACTTGCGCCCTTCAAATTTGCGCATACACGGCACCATGTACCGACGCCTCCTCTCAGCGCAAGATTCCACAGCAGTGCGTTACCTCGTCGTCGACCCTCAGGAAAGGGCCCGCCAAGCTGCCACACTACAGCTCGACGCGCACCTCCTCCGACGTTTGGAGCGCATCCTGCTGCCCATGAATCCGTTCATGACCGCGGTCAAACGCCTAGGCGCAGTGCGCCGCCCAGGCCCCGACGCAGCTGTCCACCTCAAATGGGACCCTGGCATCAATGAGCTTGCCGCCATCGTCGACGCCCAAGGCGACGGTCGCGCCGAACCGCGCACTGTAACATTCCGGCTGCGCTCTACGAGTGCACCTCGGTATCTTCACCCCCTGCACCCTTTCTACGAGCCATTATCCTACACTTTGTGGTTCCCTGCTGGAGGACGCGGATGGAGTCCCGATGCACAGGTCAACGGCGGCCACATCAGTCAAATGTGGTGGTACCGGCAGTGCCTGCTTCGCCTCAGCCACATGCACGCGCGCGGGCGGTTGCTCAACGAATGGCTCGTGAACATGTACTGCCGCATGGAGGACGAACGCTTGAGCTTACTTCGCCGAGAGCAGCCAACGATGCGGGCATCCCGGCGTCACCTGTGCGAGACTCTTGCCAACAGTTCTGGCCAACCTGCCGCGGGCGTTCGGGTTGTGTTCCCTTCCAGCGTCCCGGGTTCCCCTCGCCATCTCCGACGACTCCGCGTCGATTGTTTGGAATTGGCTCGCCAGGAAGGGTCCACGTTTTTCATCGCGCTCACGTGCAATCCGCATTGGCCTGAGATGCGTGCCGCCCTTCTTCCAGGACAATCGGCTGCTGATCGACCAGACGTCGTCGTCCGCGTCTTCCACGCCAGACTCTGGGAAATGATCGCATTCTTGAAGAATGACTTCTGCGGGCGCCGCTGGTACATCATTCGCGTGATCGAATGCCAGATGCGTGGCTTACCGCACGCGCACATCGCCCTCGTCGTCGACAACCCGCCGTGCACAGCAGACGAGATTGACGCTTTGATCTCATGCGAGGCCCCTGCAACGCCTGGCCCACTACGCGAAGCCGTCCTCTCTCACATGATCCGAGGCGCCCACCCGCGCGGCCAGCAAGAAAAAAACAGCTGCCAGGCAGGGCGTCCTG